AGCTGCCCCTCTTTCTGTTGGACAAGTAAGTAATAACGTATTAGCTGGCTTACTATGTCTTGTGTCGTTGTGCTTGCTTGATGTTTGGCTGTCAAATCTGCCAGAGATCAAAATCAGCCAGAAGTTTAGCTCCTAAATAGCTATACATGTATAAACAATTCTCTTATGTAACAAATCCTTTTTGCAACTCATAAACACAACACCTTTCCTGAATCTGGAAGGTCACAGTGGAGAGTGTGTTTTTGTGAGTCAGGGGAGGGGAGGGTCACAGTTACTACCTTATAAGGTCTGATGTAAATTTCCCATGCGCCTCCATCCCTAATAATCTGTCTGTACCATGATACTGCTTTCTTTGTATTATCGATGATACCACAACAAAAGAAGAGGGCCTTATTAACATGCTACTTGCGTGCCTCTGGTGCACAGAACGCCTAGAGAGAGTACAGTTCTACATCTCTCTCTCCATACATTTTGTCAATGATACAAGGACAAAGTATGCAAGGACATGGGAAATAGGAGGGTTTGGGTTCAGCTAAGGTTTTATGTGAGGCTGATCCTGCTGCTCGCGCTTGATTACTCTCTTTCTCTATCTTTTTCTCACTCATATTGGTTACATTTGCTGCTACTGACTGTCCTGCAAGTTACAGCTCCACAGTGGCACCTGTTGATGAAAAAGCAGCATAGCAGATGTCCACACTAAAACACACATACACAAAGCAAAGAAAAAAAAACAGTCACGTAGCTGCCAATCCTGTCCATCTTTCCTTTAGAGATAGATTGGAGGTGTAGTTCTGATCTGTGGGAGCTCTAGCAGGCAATGAGTCAGTCAGTGTAAAATGATTCAGGTATGCAAACACACACACACACACACACACACACACACACACACACACACACACACACACACACACACAGCGAGGTCTATCCACACATGCAGACCTAAGAAGCTAAACGTGTCTAGGGTGCCTGAATAGAGGTAAAGAGAGTACATGCTGCTCTGCTGGGTTTTTCCAGACTCAAATATCAAGCTTTATCTAAGGTTGTAATGACTAAACTGATATGTATCAGAAAGTCAAATCCATGAGAAATTCATCAATAACTGTCAAAAACCCTGTGCACAGTCTGTTTTTGACATTTTCTAGTCATACCTACTTTGGGCCATCCAGTTCCAGAAGAAAAGGCAGCGTGGTAACTTTATTCCCAGAAGTTGTGCACCCAGCACTGCTAACAATCTGAAAAACTGCTTATAAAGAATGCTGGCCTCTACTGCAACTCATCCTAGTTTAATACTTAGCAAAAATACTGGAGTTGGGCAGATGACACTGACCATTGTATTGCCAGTCTGCAGAGTTTTAGGATGTCTATCCAAAACATTGTGTGTCCATCTCCATTGTTTGTCATTATTGATGTGACATTTATTTGAATAACAAATTTATCTACACATGAATCCCATCATGTCTCACTTTAGATCTAGATCTTTAGTAGCAATTTAATGCTAGAGTAAGTTCACGGGTCCTACATAAATACACTGCTCAAAAAAAAGAAAGGGAACACTTAAACAACACAATGTAACTCCAAGTCAATCACACTCCTGTGAAATCAAACTGTCCACTTAGGAAGCAACACTGATTGACAATCAATTTCACATGCTGTTGTGCAGATGGAATAGACAACAGGTGTAAATTATAGGCAATTAGCAAGACACCCCCAATAAAGGAGTGGTTCTGCCGGTGGTGACCACAGACCACTTCTCAGTTCCTATGCTTCCTGGCTGATGTTTTGGTCACTTTGAATGCTGGCGGTGCTTTCACTCTAGTGGTAGCATGAGACGGAGTCTACAACCCACACAAGTGGCTCAGGTAGTGCAGCTCATCCAGGATGGCACATCAATGCGAGCTGTGGCAGGAAGGTTTGCTGTGTCTGTCAGCGTAGTGTCCAGAGCATGGAGGCGCTGCCAGAAGACAGACCAGTACATCAGGAGATGTGGAGGAGGCCGTAGGAGGGCAACAACCCAGCATCAGGACCGCTACCTCCGCCTTTGTGCAAGGAGAAGCACTGCCAGAGCCCTGCAAAATGACCTCCAGCAGGCTACAAATGTGCATGTGTCTGCTCAAACGGTCAGAAACAGACTCCATGAGGGTGGTATGAGGGCCCGACATCCACAGGTGGGGGTTATGCTTACAGCCCAACACCGTGCAGGACGTTTGGCATTTGCCAGAGAACACCAAGATTGGCAAATTCGCCACTGGCGCCCTGTGCTCTTCACAGATGAAAGCAGGTTCACACTGAGCACATGTGACAGACGTGACAGAGTCTGGAGACGCCGTGGAGAGGGGGGTGGCATTTCTTTGGGGGGCCGCACAGCCCTCCATGTGCTCGCCAGAGGTAGCCTGACTGCCATTAGGTACCGAGATGAGATCCTCAGACCCCTTGAGAGACCATATGCTGGTGCGGTTGGCCCTGGGTTCCTCCTAATGCAACACAATGCTAGACCTCATGTGGCTGGAGTGTGTCAGCAGTTCCTGCAAGAGGAAGACATTGATGCTATGGACCGGCCCGCCCGTTCCCCAGACCTGAATCCAATTGAGCACATCTGGGACATCATGTCTCGCTCCATCCACCCACGCCACGTTGCACCACAGACTGTCCAGGAGTTGGCGGATGCTTTAGTCCAGGTCTGGGAGGAGATCCCTCAGGAGACCATCCGCCACCTCATCAGGAGCATGCCCAGGCGTTGTAGGGAGGTCATACAGGCACTTGGAGGCCACAAACACTACTGAGCCTCATTTTAAGGACATTACATCAAAGTTGGATCGGCCTGTAGTGTGGTTTTCCACATTGATTTTGAGTGTGACTCCAGATCCAGACCTCCATGGGTTGATAAATTTGACTTCCATTGATAATTTTTGTGTGATTTTGTTGTCAGCACATTCAACTATGTAAAGAAAGGAGTATTTAATGAGATTAATTCATTCATTCAGATCTAGGATGTGTTACTTTAGTGTTCCCTTTATTTTTTTGAGCAGTGTACTACTTTTCCAATTCACACAAGAAAACAGAGAGAGAGAGAGAGAGAGAGAGAGAGAGAGAGAGAGAGAGAGAGAGAGAGAGAGAGAGAGAGAGAGAGAGAGAGAGAGAGAGAGAGAGAGAGAGAGAGAGAGAGGGGGTTCAGGCTGAAGTATGAGAACAAAATGGCTAAATGTACAGACATAAAAGTACATTTTTCATGTTTCTGTCCAATAACTTTACTTCTCCAAGTAATTCTCTTTCCAAAAGATAATATCTTGAGTTAGCACAAAGTCCTTTCTGCAGACAATACATTGTAAGCAGAGACGGGAGAATTCTTCAGTCTACCGCGTCATCTACTTTTCACTGTACTCTTCTCAATTCAAAATCATTTCAACAATAAACAGCGTACACACGCATGACTGACTGAACACATTTCCATTTTGAATTTGGTGAGACAGATAACCTGAAGTCTGTCACATGTTGCAACTGGATCAAAAGCCTCGCTGAAAGGAAATCCGTTGTAAATTTTCCAAAGCTTCATGGCAAGGCGCTACTAACTGAAGCTCTTGTTAACTTAAAGGGAGTGACAGACGGAAAATCCAGAGCATCAAAAGTCAACAGCACAACAAGCCTTGACACCTGCACACACACACTACACACAGAGAGTGAGTTGTTCCTGACACTAATGACCTTTAGCCACCACTGGCGCTTGTGTATCTTGCAGAATTTTAGACAGTTGCTCATTAGCAGTGGAGGCCTGTTAGAGCAGGATTTTCTCAATTCCTCAGTTTCCCGCATCTGCTCACCTTCCCATACTTCAGTCTGGCTTGTAGCAGTAACAAGGAGCGGGTAACAACGAGGCTTGATAGGAGAAGGGCTGAGGTCAGAGGACGGAGCAGCTCTCGATACGAAAGCTGACGGGAGGCAGGCGGGGAAAGGAAAAGTGTACCATGTGCAGATAAAGACTACATCAAATCCTGTGCACGTTCGCACCACCCACCTGTAACGCAAACACTGGAGCCATTCCATCCCTGCCCTCGCATCATCAACCCTGGCACTGACAGCGTAGGACGCCCAGCACCTAGTTAGCTTAGTTAAAAGTCAGCATTGTCCTTAACACTGTGCGCCTGGGGACAACTTACGTTCACACCTCCAAGAAAACACACACTGACATTCAGTGAGTTGTTGATATGACTACCTTGGCTCAAAGCCTCGATAGTCTATTATTTCTTTAGGTTTTGGCATTATTGCGGACCAAGAATGGTGATCCCCATCTCCAAAACACATTGTGTGAACTAACAAGACAAGTTGGCATTATTTATGTCTTGCCGTGAAACTCTCTCAAATTTTGGGGGGTTGGGGATAATGTTTTTTCTTAGCAAAAGTTTTGCTGTATTTCAAGGACCAGTGCTGGTAGGATTCAGGGACCAGTTGCCCATGTTATTACTTTTACTGAATTTGGAGTGACTGTCGAAGATTCACTTTTCAGCTAACCTGTCAAGGACATGGTCCAATTAAATAATACCACCTAACTACAAAGTTTCCCCACCAAAACAATACAACATTTTTTCAGAGAAATGTTCCAACTTAATATTTACAGTGCCATTTGGTATGTCAACTCCAGCGCTCAGTGCTAATTAAAAACTCTCTCATCCAAATGTGCAATTCATCACGGCATTCAGAAGAACTGAAATTACAAAAATGCCATCTTTAGCGGAGTTTCATCATTTGAGAACAAACAAAAGACCAAAGCCTCCTTGTTACTGAAGCATTCAAACACTATCATCTCCTAAATTTACCAGCATCCTCACAGTAGACCCCATCACTACATGCCCAAAAGACAAGGTTTACTGGCATTTTATGCTAACATGGTATTAATTTCAGACTATTGTGATGGTATTGTGTGTATGTGTGTGTGTATATGAGTGCATTTGCCATCTGCAGAAGAGGACTGATAGAACAAACAGAATCAGATCGCTGCCCTCAGTTACCTTCATCAAAGTCTGCATCATCCTCGGTGTGCTGGGGGAATGGGAAGCAGTTGGTGATCTCCAGCCGGTCGTCGACTACCAGGCCCAGCAGGACGCCCTGAACCACTTCGCTGCCCTGGCCCTCTTCCTGGTAGTGCTTGATAATCTTCAGCACCACCTGTGAAAACAGAAAGAGCAATCACTGTATCAAAGTACCGCAACAGAATAGAGGTAGAGTGGAAGGAAAGGGGGCCTTATTCTCCTTTCAATAACAGTTTCTGGAAAATGATTTCATTTTCTGAGCCGGGGCTAATTTATTTATCGTGCCCATTGTTTGTGCATTTTGTGGCTGTTACAGCATTTCTTGTTATTGTATTTGATCATCCTTTGATTTATGTTATCCAATTCAATTGTGTCTCTGCTCGTCATGTTGATTTGTGCTCATTAGTCTGCGTTGAGGTTAGATTGGTTGAGATGTTTTTTAAAAGCAGCCTGGATTTTCCCCTTCCTTTTGCTGCCAATTTGTAATATTCCTTTCTCTGTTGTTTTAAAATTGATGTTTTATAACAGTACAAATACATTAAACTGTGTAATTAATACCACTGGGAAAAAACGTAGACAAAAATACTTCTTCCAGTGTGCATTAAAACTGGATTCTAATGTACAAAAACATATTTCAAGATAATAAAGTTGAAAAAGAACAAAAAACAAAACATACTGTGATGTGTGACTAATAAGGAAACATTGTAATGAAAAACTATTTCTTCATGAGTTTACTTAACATATTACACAGCTTTGCAGTGACTTCAGGCTGTAGTAAATATTACTACAACATGGAACTTGGATAATCAAAACAATGAAAATATGAATAGTGCAGTGGGAGGCTTCATCTTTCCAACACAGCACACCACATAATACTTTATGGTACAGAAGATATATTCTGACTATTTGAATGGTAAAATATGTCTCGGTATCACAAACATGTAAAGAGTTAGGTCTAGGTACCTGGTAGCACACATTCATCTCACTGAATAGTGAAGCAGCGAAGGTGCTCTGATGTGACGGATTTTAAGGATGAACCGGGTGTGCAGGTGTTACATAAATACTACTGCACTGCTTTGGGAGAAAAAAAAAAAAGTTATTTACCCTAGAAATGAGCGCTCATCTTTTGCCTGTGTGCAGCCTTTATGGGTGTTAATGCTTACATGGTTCAGCCCACCCGTGGCTGGTTCACCACCTCCACTGTGTAAACCCATTATAAAAGTAACTCCTACTCTACATCTTTTGGAAAAAAAAGCAACATTAAAAAAAAAAATGCATTGCTTGAGTCACTATTTTGTAACATTGCCTGCCTAGTGCCCAATAGCACTGCAGCTGTCTCTCTTAGAGTTAATTTTGCTGAATCAGTATATCCTTGAGGTTTGTTTTGACTTGTGTTAAAACTGTATTAACAGAATCAACGAAAGTTACTTTTTAGCGTAACCAGCTTCCACTTTCTGCTGGATTTTTGAAGCCGACATCTATATTTGGGAAATTTAAACATCCACTAGCAATCCATCAGACGATTTTTAACATAAATACATAACATAAAATTTATTCCACAAAAAAAGGTTGTCTTCTTTTGACAAAAAAAAATAAAAAATGCACAACAGCTGCAGCCTCATTATAATCTATGTCCTTACGCAAAACATGAGGAAAATTTAAATTTCAGTTAGACTGGGAGCACACAGCACATTAGTTGTCCTGAAAATCCACCACATTCCTGTACCACCCCTACATCGATACTAAATTGCATAATAAATCCTCAGCCACCGTCCTGCACTCCAAGCCAGGACTCTATGTTCACTCCCCCTCTTAAATGAAGAAATTTAGGAGCACACAAAGAAAAGAAACATTGTGTGCTCTTTGTGTGCAAATATGAAAACCAGTGGAGGACTATAGAAGGGAAGACCCTAGCATCTGGACACTCAGCATGGGCCTTAAAACATAGACACAGCTTTTTAAAACACTTATCACTCACCAGTGATGAGTGAAAACACTCATCACACAAAACCCTACTGTCATTGGCGCATTGCGGCATTGTTGCATGTGGGACTTTTGAACCAGGGACGATCACAATCCACCAGCACCACCCACGCCACATTTTATGTAAACAAGATTACTGAACAATATTTATAAAAAATTACTTTTAGTAAAACCAGAACGAGGGGAGTGTGTTGCACTCAGGAGGAGGTGGCTAGAAGGAGCACATGTTGGCACAGTGGCTTGGCTCCTCTATCCACAACCTGGATTTGTAACTAGTATAAATTAGTATATTAATATAACAGCATAACATTAAATTAAAAGTATAATGTTCATTACATAGTATACTGTTAGTATAATATTAATAAATTAATAATGTTATTAATCTTGTAATTTCATATGAAAAATGCTCTAAAATGGGTGTTAGTCTCTTAATTTGCTAAGGCAAAGTACTAACTCTGCAATAATATAACTATTCATGCATGAACAATGAGTTCAACATTTTAAAAGTTTTAAAAATTTATGTCAATCTTTTTTTTATGTCCCACCCCATCCAGGCTGCGATCAGTCGGTTCACGATAAGGGGAATTGACAAGCGCATCAACTTTATGAAAAGTTAAACATGTTGATGGAAGATTAGAGTAGGCTGTAGTCTTTTTCATCATTTCCCCACATATCTATTTATAGCAGCATATGTGAGTGCACTGTAGAGCACTGTAAGCTCTTATATAAAAACCACAAAATTGCCAAAAAAGAAAACGCTTGTTAAGAGGAAATTCTGGAGCAAGTTACTCAGGCAATCACTGGCTGTGGCTGAGTGGCGAATTGAGTGGTAAGCACCACCTGCAGGCTTCAACACTGGTGCATCACTGATCTTGAGTGCGTACAAGGCCAGTTAGTATTTGGCACAGTGTAGCAATTTACATTGAAGAGAGAAGAGGCGGCACTCACAAAGATTAAAACCCAAATCTAGTGAAATTTGAAGAAAAATGCTACCCTCGTACAGTGGGAGGGTATATTTGGACTTGTAGTCTGATTTCCAACATCGTCATGCCTCATCTGGACAGGGTGTCCATGCATCATTGTGTGTTCAATTTTTAATGCCAGATAAAAATGGGCCAATAGGACAAGCCTCTGCATGATTGAGGAGCTGGTTTAAGCTCTAATACTGCGTCACCGACCCCAAGGAAGGGCTGTGGCTTACTTACATACACACAAGTTTGTTCCACTATCCATGGGGACATCTCACTGACATAATGCACCCCTTAGCCCCTTTACTAAGCTTAACCTGAACCCTTAAACCACATCTTTACCCTCAAAAGCAGTCTCTATCCATGGGGACCTCAATTATTATCCCTGCGGTGACACGAGTCCCCATGGGTTAGCGTGCATTTATGTTCAAGCCAAGAACATGAAACACACAAAATACATACACATGGACCGACTCAAACAAACACACCCACCTACTCAGAAAAAAAGCTAATGCAAAGACGAGAGAATGAAGCAAAGCTTCTAAATGAACAGGAAGAGGACAAGAAGCTGAAAGCACAGTGTGGAGGGGCAGAGCATAAATCACGCTGATAACAGTGTGGGCAGGTCATAGCCAGAAGCATTAATAATACACACATACACACAAGAACGAGGTAGTAGTCCTGGGGCCACGCTCACAACGAAACACCCATCACCACCGCGAGGAAGCCCTTACTCGTCTCGCTAGCTCACGTGCACACATGCATACACACACACACATGCATCTGTCCTACGAGATGATTTATTTCAATAGAGTGCTGGACCTGTCAAGCAACAAGTAAAAGAGCTAGGAGCGGAAGAAGAGAGATGATATGGGGTGGAGTGGGGAGAAAAACAAATCTCATTCCCTGCCCGCCTGCCGTGGCTTTTCTGACTGAGAGGGGAGGAAGGGCCATACAATAGGTCAGGGGAGGGGGCTGAAATACTGAGAAATTCTAGATGTGAGAACTCGACGGGTAAAGCAGAGAGGCAGGGCAAAGGGAGAGAGGAGAGGAGGATCCGCAAAAAAAATGTGAGAAAGCAGATGCATAGAGGAAATGAAGACAGAGGACAGCGGGAAGGGACCAGGTGAGAGTGAGGGGGGCAGACAGGTGAGCCACTGAAGGAAGAGACTCCGAGAGGCAATTTGTGGTACGGTACAAAACGCATCAGATATACAAAAGCAACGATAGAGGCAGGCATTTCAGCTGCATGTCAAGAACTACATACCAACAATTAACAGCATACTGCACATCACCTATTTATCTGTGTATTTCACATCTCCTGGTATGTATGCATGTCCCCAGACTCCCCATGGTTACAGTTTCTTGTTTAAGTGAGTTCCTGCCATGGAGTATATAAAAATAAAGAGTGTTTTGCTCTCTTGGTTCTGATCTTGGTGTATCTATACCGGATGACTGCTTTCTCAGTCAGTCTGCTCAGGTATTGTCTCATTTGTTTCGGTATGCGATTGTGGAATGTCCATAGCAGCATAGAAAACAACACAGGATATGCTGAATAAAAAATTAAAAGTAAAATAGAGTAAGAATTTTATTAACAATCTTTAAAAAAGTTCAGACTTCTGAGGAAGGATAGGGCGGGGGAGAAGGGGGATACAGTCTTCAGAATTGGCAGTGCTAGCTGCTTTACAAAGGCCCCTGGCCCCCGCCCCTTTGAGCTTTGGGTCCTTTTTCTGCCAGCAAATAGCTTTTCTAGTCTCCATCAGTGAGAGCAGATAGCACAGATACACAATGCTTTCAGCTACCTAACTCTTGGCAATCTATTCATCACACACTTAAATAGCGTCCGTCTGGAAAAGGCGGAGGCAAGAGATGGACAATTGACCAAACAACTCCAGGAAGGTCAAATAAATAACAGCAGAGCTTTAAGAAAACTCCTGAATCTACAGAAATACTTTAAATAGAGGAAACAAAGATGTGTCTGCACTAAAAGAAAGGGAAGGAAGGCAGTACCGGGGTTTTGGTGGATTTGTTGTGCTGGCTTCCTGGTGCTGAGCAAATGCCATCAGGTATTGTAAGCAAAGCCTGGAAAGCTCTAAGTTTGTGCAATCCTGCCCGCGCACACACACGCAGACTCTCCAGCACCGCCTTTTCCTGCTACTTACTCACTCTCTCTCACACAGTTTTA